TGGCAGACTCATGTAATCCCAGCTACTCAGGAGGCTGAGGCGGAGAATTGCTTGAACCTGGGAGGCAGAGGTTGCAGTGAGCCAAGATCGTGCCATTGCACTCCAGCCTGGGCAATAAGAGTGAAACTCCGTTTCAAAAAAAAAAGAAAGAAAGTCGAAGTGGCTGTATTAATATCAAGGTTTTCTTCTGTGCAAAGAAATAACCAGGGATAAAAAAGACATTACATAATAACAGGTTAGTTCACAAAGAAGACACAGTCATCCTACATGTATTATGTCCCTTAACAACAGAGCTTCACACAATACATGAAGCAGAAATGGGCTGATCTGCAATTACATGTGGAAACTTCAATATTCCTCTCTCAATAATGGAAGTAGTAGACAGAAAACCAACAGGATACAGAAGAACTGAGCAACACCATCAGCCAGCTTGGTCTAATTCACATTTATAGAACACTCTGCCCAACAGCAGCTGAATATACATTCTTTACAAGTGCATGTGGAACATTCATCAATATGGACCATGTCCTGAGTTAGAAAACATACCTCAACACATTTAGACTAGGCTTTCCAGGCCCTTGTGTTTTACTTTTTTTTTTTCATTTTTTTATTAAAATATAATTTACACAAGGTTTGCTTTTTTTTTTTTTTTTTGGAGACGGAGTTTTGCTCTTGTTGCCCAGGCTGGAGTGCAATGGCACCATCTCGGCTCACTGCAACCTCTACCTGCCGGGTTCAAGTGATTCTCCTGCCTCAGCCTCCCAAGTAGCTGGGATTACAGGCGCCTGCCACCACGCCCGGCTAATTTTTTGTATTTTTAGTAGAGATGGGGTTTCACCGTGTTGGCCAGGCTGGTCTCAAACACCAGACCTCAGATGATCCACTCACCTCGGCCTCCCAAAGTGCTGGGATTACAGGCGTGAGCCACTGTGCCCAGCCTGCAAATTTTAATTGTACAATGTGATAAATTTATATGTGTATGCCTGTTTAATCACCCAGTTCAAGATACAGAACATTTCCAGCACCCCAGAAGATTCTCTTGTGCTACCTCCCAATCATTAACCCTCCCCGAGGTAACTATTCTGACCTCTAACACAGAGTGGTTTTGACTTCTACAGAGTAGTTTTGCTAGCTCCTTGGGTTTTAATTCAATATGAAGTAACCTCTGGCAGTAAGGTTTATATGCTTTAGTGGAATTTGGACTCCTTACTCAGGTTGCAGTTACAACCCAGTTTTTCATAAAGCACATGTGTCTCATTGATCACCATTGTATTGTCCTTTTTTTTTGAGGCAGAGTCTCACTTTGTCACCCAGGCTGGAGTGCAGTGGAGTGATCTTGGCTCACTACAGTCTCCACCTCCTGGGTTCAAATGATTCTCCTGCCTCAGCCTCCTGAGTAGCTGAAATTACAGGCGCCTGCCACCATGCCCGGCTAATTTTTGTATTTTTAGTAGAGATAGGGTTTTACCATGTTGGCCAGGCTGGATTCAAACTCCTAATCTCAAGTGATCCACCCGCCTCAGCGTCCTAAAGTGCTGGGATTACAGGCGTGAGTCACTGCTCCCAGCCCCGTATTGTCTTTTAGAAAAACTGTATAAGTATTTAAATATTTTCAGCCACCAAATTAAAAAGAAAATACTAAAGTTGAAGTTTATTGCTCCCCAGAATAGAAAAATTAGCCAGGCATGGTGGCGGGCGCCTGTAATCCCAGCTACTCAGGAGGCTGAGGCAGGAGAATCGCTTGAATCCAGAAGGCAGAGGTTGCAGTGAGCCGAGATTGCACCACTGCATTCCAGCCTGGGTAACAGAGCAAGACTGTCTCAAAAAAAAAAAAAAAAAGATCACATGGCAAGAGAGGAAGCAAGACGGGAACCAAGGATGCCAGACTCGTTTTCTTTTCCTTTCCTTTTTTTTTTGAGACAGAGTTTTACTCTTGTTGCCCTGACTGCAGTGCAATGGTGCAATCTTGGCTCACTGCAATCTCTGCCTCCTGGGTTCCAGCAATTCTCCTGCCTCAGCCTTCTGAGTGGCTGGGATTACAGGTGTGCGCCACCACCTCTAGCTAATTTTTGTAGTTTTAGTAGAGACAGGGTTTCACCGTGTTGGCCAGGCTGATCTCAAACTCCTGACCTCAGGTGATCGCCTGCCTCAGCTTCCCGAAGTGCTGGGATTACAGGCATGAGCCACTGCACCTGGCTCTTTTTCTTTTAGTATGGAGTGCTTCACAAATTTGTGTGCCATCCTTGTGCAAGGAAACCGGACTCTTTTTAACCACCTGCTGTCTTGGAAACTAATCCAGTCCTTGGAGAGTGAGTACTCATTCACCCACGAGGAGGGCATTAATCTATCCATGAGGGATCTATCCCCATGGCCCAAACACCTTCCACTAGGCCCCACCTCCTAGCACTGCCACTTTGGGGATCAAACTTCAACATAAATTTTGGCAAGGACAAACCACATCTAAACCATAGCAGATACGGTGAGTCGCGTGAGCTCTGAAGGAATGTGATGTGGTGGAACAGCATCCACAGGCTCTACCAGAGATTGAGGGAAGCTGGTACAAATTACTGGATCCAGCAACATAGAAGGGGACTCTGGGAGAATCCCATGTAAAGATTTTAGCTAGTCCAGGCATGGTGGCACACACCTGTAATCCCAGCACTTTGGGAGGCCAAGGCAGACAGACAGCTTGAGCTCAGGAGTTCGGGACTAGCCTTGGCAATACAGCAAGACCCCCATCTCTATGAAATAATACAAAAATTATTCAGGTGTGATGGCGTGTGCCTGTAGTCCCAGCTACTCAGGAGACTGAGGTGGGAGGATCACTTGAGCCCAGGAGGTCGAGATCGTAGTGAGCCGAGATCAAGCCACTGCACTCTAGCCTGGGCAACAGTGAGGCCCTGCCTCAATGACAACAAAAAAAATTTTAGCTGGTTATCCTTTAAATGTATTTCACCCATAAATATATATGCCTACTGTGTACCTACAAAAACTTTTAAAATCTACAGTATTAACATTTGGAAATAAATGTACTTTGCTGGGGCCAAAATCCATACTTGGTGGCCCTGAGTATCAACAGCATGTTTTGAATACCCATTGTATATTGAATATCAAACTTAAAATTGTGGAGAATCACAAGAGAGGTATAAAATAAAACTTCTTGTCCAGGCACGGTGGCTCACGCCTATAATCCCAGCACTTTGGTAGTCCGAGGCAGACAGATCATTTTGAGCTCAGGAGTTCGAGACCAGCCTGAGCAACATGGCAAAACCCCGTCTCTACTAAAAATATAAAAATTAGCAGCACGTGGTAGCACACGCCTGTAATCCCAGCTACTCAGGAGACTGAGGCTGGAGAATCGCTTGAACCCAGGAGGCGGAGGTTGCAGTGAGTAGAGATTGTGCCACTGCACTCCAGCCTGGACCACAGAGCGAGGCTCTGACTCAAAAATAAAATGAAATAAAATTTTTTTTTGGCAAGAATGTAGAATTTAGAGTTAGAAGATTAGAGCTTGGAAACAAAGCTGTATACCTGTATGTAAACACATAGGAAAAGGTATGAAGGAATTTTCACAATGATTACTTGACTCTAGGTAGAGATTGAGAAAGGGATGGGCTGAGGGAGGAAGAGTGAAAGGGAATTATATATTTTTAAAACTTTACTGTGGAATTACTAGAAATTTTTGGTACATATTACACACATAAACACAACAACACAAAGATTTGTTTTGAGCTTTGGCTGCCAGTTATTAGTGGTTTAACCCCAGAGGTGAATTAAACATTTATGATGTTGTTGTCATTTTCATCATGAGAGCTGACTGGGTCTTAGAATCATTTGGTATAATCCCCACTTTTTATAGATAAAGAAATTCTAAGATTCCTGCTTCCAGGCACATATCTCTGATTACCTAACCATTGTGCTCGCTTCCTGTGAGAGGAGGCAGGCCCTCTGTGCAGTCTGTGAATTTCAAGGGTAATGGAATACAGATTCATGGTCTCTTTGGAATGTCCACGTGAAAAGATAAAGATGGATTAACTAGGGAAAATCTAAGATTTTACGGGAAGATAAATAAAAAGTTTATGCTCAAATCCATGTATGGCATGATTGAAAGATTGTGTTTTTAAATGAAGTTATGTTTCCTAAAGAGGAAAGCAGACCTTCTCTGTGGTAAATATAGCCTTGCATGTGTTTTCAAGAATAGTGCTTTGGAAACCGTTTTTTTCTACAGAAGTTAGTGGGAGAGGGCAGATGGAAACACAGATTCTTCCTACCTAGTGCCAAAAGCACTGAGAAAATGTTGCAAGGAGCTAATAACAAGTACAAAAATGTTAAAAATGTGTTAAATATATGGGTCTGACATGTATAAGCATAGACCAAAAAGACTACTTGACCTGAGTTTCTAATGTTCTGTTTTGAAGTTAAACATATGATCCCTTTTCCTTAGTATTCAACAAGCTAATGAGATTTCATGGATTTGCCTTCTGAGCTGTCTTTGCACAAACCACAGCATGATACCTGGTGGTGGAATGCTATAATAGTTTGCATTTCTGCACCTCTTCCGTGAATTAATTCAACAAGTATTTACTGAGTGCTCAGTACGTGCCCGTCCCAAAGGTCGTGGAGCTGCGGTAAAGAACACAATAAGCAGTCTCTGCCCTCTTGGAGCTTACAGTCTAACAGGAAGAAGCAGAAAAGTAAGAGAAGTCGGCCAGATACATAAACAAATAAACAAGATGAGGGGAAGTGCCAAGGGGAAAATACACCAGAGAAGAGGATAAGGAGTGCCAAGTAAGGTGGTTGCAGTTTTTTTTGTTTTTTTTTTTTGTTTTTTTACATGGAGTCTCGCTGTGTCACCTAGGCTGGAGGGCAATGGCCCATCTCGGCTCACTGCAACCCCCGCCTCCAGGGTTCAAGCAATTCTCCTGCCTAAGCCTCCCGAGTGGCTGGCATTACAGGTGCCTACCACCACACCTGGCTAATTTTTAGTAGAAACGGGGTTTCTCCATGTTGGCCAAGCTGGTCTCAAACTCCTGACTTCAGGTGATCCTGCCTTGGCCTCCCAAAGTGCTGGGATTACTAGGCGTGAGCCACCGTGCCCGGCCAGGTTGTTGCAGTTTTAAATAGAATTCCAGGGAGAAGGTGACAGTTGGAACAAAGACCTAAAGAGCATGACCAGCACACCATGCTGACTGTCTGTATTCCAAGAAGACAGAAGGGAAAGGCCCTGAGCCTGAAACACGTCTTGGATATTTTGCATTCAGGAAAGTCATGCTTCAGAATGTTACAAATATTTCATTGACTAATATTTTCTAGACATATTTTAAAGAGGTGCAGAAAGGAGAGTTTTTGTCTCACCGTAGCAGCCAAGGTGCGTTTGCCCAGTGCCTCCCATTGTCTTTCCCTGTGGGAGTAACTCTTCGGTCCAGTGATGAGGAGCCTGTGACGTCTGTGTTCTGGTTTGTTGGTAACATTACCATACAGGGCTTCACTGGTGTCCTTCTTAGCATGGATTGCTTCCATTCATTGGTTGCTGGAAAATTTGCTTTCAAATGTTTTTAACAGTGACTCTTAGGAAAAAAAATACATTTTATTAGATGTCCATTCTCCCTAAATTTACCTAAGTTCAACTTAATTCCAACAGTTTTTTGTTTTTTTTTTTTTGAGACGGAGTCTCGCTCTGTCGCCCAGGCTGGAGTGCAGTGGCCGGATCTCAGCTCACTGCAAGCTCTGCCTCCTGGGTTCACGCCATTCTCCTGCCTCAGCCTCCTGAGTAGCTAGGACCACAGGCGCCCGCCACCACACCCGGCTACTTTTTGTATTTTTAGTAGAGACGGAGTTTCACCATGTTAGCCAGGATGGTCTCCATCTCCTGACCTCGTGATCCACCCGCCTCAGCCTCCCAAAGTGCTGGGATTACAGGGGTGAGCCACCGCGCCTGACTCCAACAGGCTTTTTAAAAAATATTAATTTAAAAAAAACAAGGCTGGCACTTTGGGAGGCCTGTAATCCCAGCACTTTGGGAGGCCACGGTGGGCGGATCACTTGGGGTCAGGAGTTTGAGAGCAGCCTGGCTGCTTCAAGTGTAGTAAAACCCCATCTCTACTAAAAAAAATTAGCTGGGCATGGTGGTGGGTGCCTATAGTCCCAGCTACTCAGGAGGTTGAGGCCGGAGAATCACTTGAACCCGGGAGGTGGAGGCTGCAGTGAGCCGAGATCACGCCACTGCACTCCAGCCTGGGTGACAAGAGTGAAACTCCATCTCAAAAAAATAAATAAAAATTAAAAAAAAAAATACAAAAATTAGCTGGTATGGTGGCACACACCTGTCGTCCCAGCTACTTAGGAGGCTGAGGCAGGAGAATCATTTGAACCTGGGAGGCAGAGGTTGCAGCGAGCCGAGATTATGGCACTGCACTCCAGCCTGGGTGACAGAGCGTCTCCGTCTTAACAAATAAATAAATAAGATAAGCTGATTTAAAAATGTATATGAAATTGTAGTGATACTAGTGATACTAGGAATAGTCATACTAGTGGAAAAGAGGAAGCAAATGGGAGAAGTTGCTATTGGGTAACCAGACTTCTAAAGCTTTAGTAATTAAGGGAGTGTGGTATTAGCACACGAAAAGATACGTAGATCATTGGAACAGATTAGAGAAGTCAGAAGACCCACATATATGGATATTTGAGTCACTGCAAAGGTGATACGACGAAGTCTTTTTCAGTAAATAGTGCGGAACAGTTGGTTATGAATGCGGAGAAAAATGAAACTGGATCCCTACCTCACTTCATACGGTTATTTTGTCTGAGCACTTTAAAGTGTTGATGCCACTGTCTCTTGACTGCTGAGTTTCTGCTGGCAGTGTAATCGTTTCCTTTACCGGGAATTTGCCTTGTCTCTTTCTCCTTCAAGTCTTCTCTAATGATAGAGTCCCCGGCTTTAGGCTTCTTCCTTCAACTCCAGTGGATATTCCCTACTTGGTTTTGTTCTACGGAGTTAAGAAAATTATTCCAGAAAAGCAGATGTCTTTGTTTAACTTCCAGATCATTAAAAAGTTGTATTAGTATTCAAACATTAAACAGTTGTTCTTTGTTAGTAAAAGGAGGAAAATAGTGAAACCATTCTTAAGAATTGAATGAATTCATATTTGGTCTTCTTAAATATTTCAAAATATTTCAGATCAATTATTTGGTATGCTAGTGGTTTCTACTGAAGGTTAAGCTTTGACCTACTAAAGGAAGCTCATAAAGAAAGCTTTGTCAGACTTCGGTTCCCATGAACCTGCTCACAAAGAACACTTTTTCCCAATGTAGTTTTGTCTTGTGTATGAAAGGAAAGCTGCCTGCCAAGGAGGCCAAGAAGGTTAGCTGAATGCTGTTGTAATGGTGAGGTGTTTGTCCAGAAAACCATTCCTGACACCTTTCAAATCAAAAACTTTTTTTTTTCCTTAAGCTTTTTGATTGCTGGATTTCTGTTTGAGGAATTTATGTTGCTACAATGAGGGTAGCAATAAATGCCCCCTGGGAAGTTGGAAATGAAGGAAAAGGAGAGTTAAACACAATAGATGAGATCGGAAATGGGCAAAGTTGTCTTAAAGAGACAGAATGGCTCCCTGGCTAGAATAAGACTGAATTGTCCCTAGATCAAAAAAGGAGAATGTATGTGGCAGAAGGAAGAAAGTGGACTCTACACTGTGTCAGTTAGGAAAACCAGAAATTGGGCCAAATTACCTGTTTAGTGGGAGAGATAGCTTTTGAGAGCTGTGATCCTGCTGGTGTGGCTGGCTGTGGGCAGATATTTGTATCTGAAATGACTCATGCTGTGGGACCCTTCCTGAGATCTAACACTTACAGTGGTTTGATCAGAAATTACACCACGCTTGCCAAGCAACTTTTGGACTAAAAGTTGCTGCCCATGTATATCAGGGGAGGAACATATATATATATATAGAGAGAGAGAGACAGAGAGAGAGAACCTATCTTAACATCTAATTTGTATGACCGTTACTTCAATGTAAAATAATAAATTGGTTTTCCAGCTTAAACTTCAATTTCTTGAATATTATATGATCATGAGACAACCTCCCTGGGCTGATTAACAGCAGGACGCTAAAAAGATTGAGTATCTGGGTCAGGAAGGTAGAGGGCCAGACCCTACATGTGCTAATTCACCATTGTAAATCTGCATGTTAGGTAAAACTATGGGTTTGTGTTTTGTTTTTTGAGACAGATTCTCGCCCTGTTGCCCAGGCTGGAGTGCAGTGGCATGATCTCGGCTCACTGCAACCTTTGCCTCTGGGTTCAAGAGATTCTCCTGCCTCAGCCTCCCAAATAGCTGGGATTACAGGTGTGCACCACCACGCCCGGCCAATATTTTATGTTTTTAGTAGAGACCAGAGTTTCACCATGTTGGCTAGGCTGGTCTCGAACTCCTGACCTCAAGTGATCCACCCACTTTGGCCTCCAAAAGTGCTGGGATTACAGGCATGAGCCACTGTGCCAGGCCTAAAACTATGGTTTTTAAAGATATATGTGTGTGTGGTAAAGCTATGAATCAAAGCAAGAGAATATTTCATCTCAATGTTAGGAGAGTGGTTTTGGTGGGGTGGGGTATGTAGTCAGGGAGAGGCACACAAGAGCTTCAAAGGTGCTGTTAATGGTCCCTTTCCCAAGCTACATGGGGATTTCATGGGTGCTCATTTTTTAATTGTTCTTTAAGCTGAACATGTTATATATAGTCATGGACAGATAATCATTATTTTAAAAATGAAGGCAAGGAGCATACCATAAAATGAGTTACCTCATATTTAACCAGCTGGCATCCTAAGCACCTTTCCTGCCCTCCCCTCTCTGCACTTGGCAGAGTCGATCGCATTCTCCCCATTACCCACCTGTACACGGCTGTCAGTGCCAATAGTGCGTTGCTCTTGTATTATTGATGAAGTCTTGCTCCTTTTCCTAGATTCTGAGGCCTCCTGAAGGCAGCACCCTTGTCTTTTGCAAAGGTTGAGCTTCCGAGGATATGTCTTTGTTGAATTTTGGAAACTGTTTAGCCTTTATTTCTGAAGATACCACTTTCGTTATCCTCTCTTTTCATTTCCTACTGAAACCCCTTTTTTTTGTTTGTCTTTTTGTTTTGTTTTGTGTTAGACGGAGTTTTGCTCTTGTTGCCCAGGCTGGAGTGCAATGGTGTGATCTCGGCTCACTGCAACCTCTGCCTCCCGGGCTCAAGCAATTCTCCTGCCTCAGCCTCCTGAGTAGCTGGGATTACAGGCGCCCACCATCACACCCAGCTAATTTTTTTGTATTTTTAGTAGAGACGGGGTTTCACTGTGTTGGCCAGGCTGGTCATGAACTCCTGACCTCAGGTGAGCCACCCACCTCAGCCTCCCAAAGTGCTGGGATTGCAGGTGTGAGCCACTGCACCCAGCTGAAAACCCAATTATGTGTAGCTTGGACCTTTATGTTCTCTCTTCTATGTCTCTCAACTTGTCTTTCATATTTTTAATCTTTTCATCTCTTTGTTGCATGGTAGGTAATTTCCTCAGATCTATCATCTAGTTCAATACTTTTTTTTTCCAACTGTGACTAATTTGCTCTTCATTCCACCCAGTGACATTTTAAACTCTCTTGGATTTTTTCATTTCTATTTCCAATAGTAGTAGTTCTTTGCTTACATTTCAGTTTCCTGTTTTATTTTAAAAACATTTTAATCATTTTTCTTTTATGTTTTGTGTTGTTCAATCTAGATGAAATACTTAGGGTTGTTCAATGCTGTTATGGTTTGTTTTACTTGACTCACTCGTGGGCCTACTTCCCTATGGTAATTTCTAATTGCGAGTGATGTGGCTCATCCTAATGTATGAGAACCCTGGGGGACCTGGATCAGGACAGCCCCACAGATGGGGTTTATGTTTACCAATGCCAGGCACGTTGGAGTGCTACCAACATAGAAGCACTTCAGATTCACCGTCTGTGTAGAACTTTGCTTGGAAAGAGAGAATAACTTCAAACTCTGATGCTGAATGGGGCAGGCTTATGATGACAGATTCTTAGGAAAGACTGTTTTTTTTTTTTTTTTTTTTTTTTTTGAGACGGAGTCTCGCTCTGTTGCCCAGGCTGGAGTGCAGTGGCCGGATCTCAGCTCACTGCAAGCTCTGCCTCCCGGGTTCACGCCATTCTCCGGCCTCAGCCTCCCCAGTAGCTGGGACTACAGGCGCCCGCCACCTCGCCCGGCTAGTTTTTTGTATTTCTTAGTAGAGGCGGGGTTTCACCGTGTTAGCCAGGATGGTCTCGATCTCCTGACCTCGTGATCCACCCGTCTCGGCCTCCCAAAGTGCTGGGATTACAGGCTTGAGCCACTGCGCCCGGCCAGGAAAGACTGTTTTTTATTCATTCCAGCCAATGCTTGAGATAAGACAGATTTCCTTGTCAGCTCCATTTGCCAGCAGATTGATTTTTCCCTAGCTTACTCTTTCACTTAGGGTTAGGTCCTTGGGATTCTGGCTTGGCAGAGAATATCAGTTCCAGCTCCTCACCATCTACTCAGCTCTGAAAACCAAGGCTCCACGGGTGTGCCCATTAGTTACAGGTAGCCTGTAGCTTCAGGGCTGGCTTCTCTTCTAGTTTGGGAGCACTGTTTTTGGTTTTGGATCCTGTGGATTTTCCATACTTTCTCGAAAACTCAGCTATGCATTTGAAAGGCTGTTAAATATTTCACTCAGCATTGCCAGGTGTTTGGAGGGGGGTGTTTTGGAATAGCTAGGCTATTGTATTGTGCAAAGTTGAAGCCTCATATTCTATTTCTATATGAACTGTAGTTAAGTATTGATAATCTGATGTCTGGGATGTTTTGGTTCTTACATCAACAACCATGACATTTATTAATAATCATATTAAATAACATTAACTCAAGCTCATTGGTTACATTACAAAGGACATTGATACATTACAAAGCACACGTACAAGCACTGCACACCAATATTGAGGCTTCCAGCCCCCTCTACATGATCATTTATTTATTTATTTATTTTTGAGACAGAGTCTCACTCTGTTGCCCAGACTGGAGTGCAATGGCATGATCTCGGCTCACTGCAACCTCTGCCTCCCAGGCTCAAGCGATTCTCCTGCCTCAGCCTCCCGAGTAGCTGAGATTACAGGCGTACACCACTACCACCTGGCTAATTTTTGTATTTTTAGTAGAGATGGGGTTTCACCATGTGGGACAGGCTGGTCTCGAACTCCTGACTTCAAATGATCCACTCGCCTCGGCCTCCCAAAGTGCTGGGATTATAGGCGTGAACCACTGCGCCTGGCCATGATCATTTTTGTTTTGGAACCATTCATTCAGAAAAATTTCACAGCCATTTTGAACTTGTGCTATGACATGGCAAAATCTCTAGTAAATCATTTTAATTCCTGACGCATTCATTTTTATAATGATAAATTTCTAAGGAAAATATTTTGTTTTCAACTTCTTGCCACCATGTCAAGACTCTGCATTTTAAAACATATTACATCACCTTTTCCCTTCAAAGCAATGCCAGTGAATTCCGTTAATGGTATCATCCATCTCATGTTATCCAACTCCAGATCATAAAGGTTCCCTCATTCTCCTTCCTTTCCACAAACCTACCAAATCCTCTATCACCAAGTCCTTTGGATTCATTCACACAGAAAGTATTGAGCACAGAGGCAGAGCAGGGCCTCTGGAGAGTGCCACATTTGTGTGTGAATCCTGACTCTTGATTTTCTTTTCTTTTTTTTTGAGTTGGAGTCTGGCTCTGTCACCCAGGCTGGAGTGCAGTGGCACGATCTCGGCTCAGTGCAAGCTCTGCCTCCCAGGTTCATGCCATTCTCCTGCCTCAGCCTCCTGAGTAGCTGGGACTACAAGCACCCGCCACCACGCCTGGCTAATTTTTTGTATTTTTAGTAGAGATGGGGTTTCACCATGTTAGCCAGTATGGTCTCGATCTCCTGACCTCGTGATCCGCCCTCCTTGGCCTCCCAAAGTGCTGGGATTACAGGCATGAGCCACCGCGCCCGGCCGACTCTTGATTTTCACTAGCTTTGTAACCTTGGACAAATTACTGCCAGGCACAGTGGCTCACACGTATAATCCCAGCACTTTGGGACCTGAGGAACTTTGAGACCAGCCTGGGCAACATAGCAAGACCCTGTCTCTACAACAAATAAAAAAATTAGCTGGGTGTGGTGGCACACACTTGTATTCCCAGCTACTTGTGGGGGCTGAGGTGGGAGGATCACTTGAGCCTGAGAGGTCAAGGCTGCAGTGAGTCATGATCAGGCCACTGCACTCAGCCTGGGTGACAGAGCGAGACCCTGTCTCAAAACAAACAAACAAAAAAACAAATAACTTATCTGGAGCTCAGTCCCATATTTGTAAAATGTGAATAACTACAGCACCTTCCCTTATAGAAAGTTGTTTGAGGATCCAGTTATACGTTTAAAGTGCTTAACACATTACCTGGCTGTCATCCTTCTCAAAGTTTGTTGCTGTCATCCTTCTCAAAGTCTCGATGGAGTCTGTCTTCATCAAGGTTTCACTGCCCTCATGCCTGTTCTGTTTACCACTTTTCTAGACTGGGCCCTTACTTACCTCAGCCTGGGCTATTGTGAAACACTCCCAGCAGCTTCCTGACTTGCCCCACTCCCTCCTTCCTCCGTCTTGTTCCTAATTGTGTTTGTCAGAAATGCCTCTAACTGATACACTGGCAAAATCAGAAATCTTCAAGGGATCTCCCTTTTTCTTACTGTAGCTTAAGATCCAAATCTCTTAACCTAGATCACGATCTGACACTAGATATATTTATAGTCCGTGAAAATACCCTGAAAGCTTTAAAGTACTAGATGAAAGTGAGCTCCTTCATTACCACCTCCACTCACTGTAGGCGGCTTTTCATGTGCCTGTCTCGGTGCAACAGCTAAGCTTTAAGAGGCCTGGGACTGTGACCTACTTTATTTTGTATTTCTATAGCAGCTCACTTGGTACCCAGAGCAAGGAGGTATATTTGTTTCTTACATATATGGCAGATTGATTACTATATAAATTACTATGTTGAAGATTAAAATGGTTTACTGAAGATGTCGCCATATATCTTTTTCTTTTTTTTTTTTTTTTTTTGAGACGGAGTCTCGCTCTGTCACCCAGGCTGGAGTGCAGTGGCCGGATCTCAGCTCACTGCAAGCTCCGCCTCCCGGGTTCACGCCATTCTCCTGCCTCAGCCTCGCGAGTAGCTGGAACTACAGGCGCCCGCCACCTCGCCCGGCTAGTTTTTTTTGTATTTTTTAGTAGAGATGGGGTTTCACCGTGTTAGCCAGGATGGTCTCAATCTCCTGGCCTCGTGATCCGCCCGTCTCGGCCTCCCAAAGTGCTGGGATTACAGGCTTGAGCCACCGCGCCCGGCCGATATCGCCATATATCTTAGCAAGGTCAAAACAGTTGTGTGATTTTTCTGAATGAATACTTTCAAAATAAAAAAGATCACTCAGACTAGAAGCCTGAACATCTGTGAGCAATGCTTATACATGTGCTTTTTATAAACCAACATATTGGGCCAGGCACGGTGGCTCACGCCTGTAATCCCAGCACTTTGGTAGACTGAGGCAGGAGGACCACAAGGTCAGGAGTTTGGGACTAGCCTGACCAACATGGTGAAACCCCGTCTCTACTAAAAATACAAAAATTAGCTGGGCGTGGTGGCATCTGCCTGTAATCTCAGCTACTCAGGAGGCTGAGGCAGGAGAATTGCTTGAACCCAGGAGGCGGAAGTTGCAGTGAGCCGAGATCACGCCATTGCACTCCAGCCTGGGCGACAGAGCAAGACTGTCTCAAAAAAATAAAATAAAATAAACCAACATATTAAGCTTTAATAGGATTATTGATCTGAAAACCAAAACATGGTAAGAATTAGTTTATAAGTCATATTTAGATGTATCGTCTTATAATCCTCTCAGCAAACCTGTGGGGCAGGTAGATTATGGATAACAAGTGTTCACTTCATGAATTGTCCCTGTTGATCAGGTAAAATAAAGTAGAACTTGAATCTGGGACAGTTCTTGTGACTCTAGATTCCTGTTTTTTTTTGTTTGTTTGTTTTTGTTTTCTTTTGTTTGAGCAGGGGCTGGGGAAAATACCTCTCTTGTTGAAGTTCTTTAGTACTCTTTTTTTTTTTTGAGATGGAGTATTGCTCTGTTGTCCAGGCTGGAGTGCAGTGGCGCAATCTCAGCTCATTGCAACTTCTGCCTCCTGGGTTCAAGCAACTCTCCTGCCTCAGCCTCCCGAATAGCTGGGATTACAGGCACGTGCCACCACGCCAGGCTAATTTTTGTATTTTTAGTAGAGATGGAGTTTTGCCATGTTGGCCAGGCCGACTTGAACTCCTGACCTCAGGTGATCTGCCCACCTTGGCCTCCCAAAATGCTGGGATTACAGGCATGAGCCACTGCATCTGACCCATCTTTTAATAGGAGCTCAGTATATTCATACTTGATTGATCACCATTTTCTTCATTAGAAATGAGGTGCGGTTGGCCGGGCGCGGTGGCTCACGCCTGTAATCCCAGCACTTTGGGAGGCGGAGGCAGGTGGATCACGAGGTCAGGAGATTGAGACCATCCTGGCTAACACGGTGAAACCCCATCTCTACTAAAAATACAAAAATATTAGCCAGGCGTGGTGGCGGATGCCTGTCGTCCCACTACTCGGGAGGCTGAGGCAGGAGAATGGCGTGAACCCGGGAGGTGGAGCTTGCAGTGAGTCGAGATCACGCCACTGCACTCCAGCCTGGGCGACAGAGCGAGACTCTGTCTCAAAAAAAAAAAAAAAAAAGAAAAAGAAAAAGAAATGAGGTGGGATGCTTTTGTTTTTGTTTTTGTTTTTGTGTTTTCATTTCAAAGGTTAAAAACCTAGAAAGGAAGGAGAGTATTTGGGAAAATGGTGGAAGAGGAAGCACCAGTAATATGTCTCCACACCTAGACATCAGTTGTACTGGCAGGATCTGTCTGATGTAACTATTCTGGAACTCCAAAGTCTATTGAGTCTTGCAGCTTCTTGCCTGGATGGCAAATTGTGGTTAATTTTGGTCAGTTTCAACTCTTAGCACAGTAGCAGCTATGCACTCCCCAACCCCAGTTCTGTGGAAGGCAGCTCTGCGGATGTTCCTAGAGCTTGCACATAGCTTGTGGGAGCCAGAATAGGCAAAAAGCATCCTGTCCTCTAAATATTTGGGGTCTGTGCTCTGACTGCTGATTGCTACTTCTAATCATAGAGGTGCAGACAAAGAGATGGGTGGCCACTGTCATTACACCTCCCTCGTTATTGCAAGTTCTCCCCCCTCCAATTAACAAGACTTCCAGGGGATTTAAAGAGCTAATGGTCCTGCTCCCTTGCTTCACTTTTTTTTTTTTTCCCATTTGGGAGCTAGATATTAGAGAATACGACATTGAAAAGCAACTGCATTAAGGGGGAGAATTAAGAAGTGACTGTGCATGCCTAGGAAAAGGTATAGGCACAGAAAAGACCTGAGAAAAAACCTAAGTTTATACCTGAGACTGATCTTTGGCACAGACGGCCTACAGTAATCAGAAAGAATCACACACACACACACGCACACACAGAATAACAAAACCCAGTAAACTTGGAAAGGGGAGGATCTGATTTTCTGAATTACCACATTATTAGATTCACATGTTCGGTTTTCAACAAAAGAAATCACGAGGCACACAAAGAAACAGGAAAGTATGCTCTTCCAAGGAAAAAAATAAACCAACTGAAACTGTTCCTGAGACCACATAGTAGACCTATTAGAAAAAGATTTTAAAACTACTGTCTTAAAGGTACTCAAACAACTAAAGAAGATGTAGGGCTGGGCATGGTGGCTCATGCCTGTAAACCCAGCATTTGGGAGGCCGAGGCAGGTGGATCACTTGAGGTCAGGAGTTTGAGACCAGTCTTGCCAAGATGAGACCAACCTGGCCAAGATGGTGAAACCCTGTCTCTACTAAAAATCAAAAACTAGCCAGGTGTGGTGGCGCTCACTGGTAATCTCAGCTACTTGGGAGGCTGAGGCAGGAGAATCTCTTGAACCTGGGAGGTGGAGGTTGCAGTGAGCCAAGATTGTGCCATTGCACTCTAGCCTGGGCAACAGAGTGAGACTCCTTCTCTAAATAAATAAATAAATAAATAAATAAATAAATAAATAAATAAGATGTGGAGAAAGGTAAAACACTGTATGAAGGCTGGATGTGGTGGCTTACGCCTGTAATCCCAGCATTTTGGAAGGCTGAGGCGGGCAGATCACTTGAGGGCAGGAGTTCAAGACCAGCCTGGCCAACATGTTGAAACCTGGGTCATCTCTAGTAAAAAAGACAAAAATTAGCTGGGCGTGGTGGCACAAGTCTGTAGTCCCAGCTACTCGGGAGGCTGAGGCAGGAGAATCACTTGTACTTGGGAGATGGAGGTTGCAGTGAGCCAAGATCATGCCACTGCACTCCAGCCTGGGCAACAGAGAGAGATTCTGTCTCCAAAAAAAAAAAAAAAAAGGAAAGAAAAGAAAAAGGAAAACAGTGTATGAATAAAATGTAAATATAAATAAAGAGATAGAAACCCTAAAAAGAAACTGAAAATAATTCTGGAACTGAAAAATACAATAACTGAAATGAGAAATTCACTGGAGGGATTCAAAGGCAGATTTGAGCAAGCAGAAGAAAGAATCAGTGAATTTGAAGATAAGATCTTAAAATTATCAAGTCTGAGAAACAGAAAAATGTTTGAAGAAACATAAACAGAGCCTAAGGGACCTGTGGGACATCATCAAACAGACTAACATGTTTTCTGGGAGTTATAGAAAGAAATGAAAGTATCTGGAAGCTTCCCTGATTTGACAAGAGACATGGATATAAACATCCAGGAAGTTAAATGAACTCCAAGTAAGATGAATTCAAGGACACCCACACCAAGATACATTACAGTCAAACTCCCAAAAGTGAAAATCAAAGAACCTTTGGGCTGGGTTCAGTGGCTCACACCTGGAATCCCAGCACTTTGGGAGGACAAGGCAGGAGGATCACTTGAGTTCGAGCTCAGCCTGGGCAATATAGTAAGACCTCATCTCTGCTAAAAATCAAAAAAATTAGTCGGGCGAGGTGGCATGTGCCTGTAGTCTCAGGTCCTCGGGAGGCTACGGTGGGAAAACTGCTTGAGCCTGGAAGGTTGAGGCTGCAGTGAGATATGATTGAGGCCCTGTACTCCAGCCTGGCCTACAGCATGAGACCCTGTCTCAAGAAAGGATTCAACCTGAGGAAGCTGACTAAAAAAACTTCAGAGAAGAGAGAAATGCCTCATCATATACAAGGGATACCCAGTAAGATTATAAGCAGATTTCTCATCAAAAACTTTGGAGGGGCCAGGTGCAGTGGCTCACATCCATAATCCCAGCACTTTGGGAGGCCGAGGCAGGTGGATCTCTTGAGGCCAGGAGTTTGAGACTAGCCTGGCCAACATGGTGAAACTCTGTCTCTAAAAATACAAAAATTAGCCAGGCATGGTGGCGCATGT